GTTTAAAACGATGGGCGGAACACCTTAAGGAGTGGTTCAACTGGCCTTCAGCCAACCAACAAATACCCTCCATTCCCAAACAGCCGGATGGAACATTAAGGCAGGCCCCCAGACTCCAATTGAAGTTCAGAAAGCCACAGCCTATCCGAAAAGAGGAAGCGCAGTTGGTCCAGATGGATTGGCTCCAAAGATCTTTAAAGATGGTGGTCCAGTTTTAGCGATTTGGTTGACTAATATTCTAACTAAAACCTTGGAACTAGATGTAATCACATCTGACTGGTCGCAATTGCTGATGATCAAGATCAACATGTGATAATCACTGAGGGGTTAGTTTGACTAATACAGCATCTAAAATAATTATCTCAATAATTATCGGACGCCTAGCAAACACTCTTGATCTGCAAACACGAGGAAATCAGACTGTCTTCGGACCTGGTCGTGGTTGCATCGACCACATATTCATCATTCATCAGGTTCTAGAACACAGGCATACTTATCGGCGTCCGACAACGGTGGTCTTTCTTGACTTAAAAGCAGTATTTGACTCTGTACACCGCGGGATTCTGTGGCAGGAGTAACTCAGAAGTACGTAAACCTTGTGAAGGCTCTTTACTCGAACACTACTAGTCGAGTCAGAGCTTATGGAGGACTGCCATCTGCTTTTGCAACCACAAGTGGTGTTCGTCAAGGCTGTCCACTTTCTCCATTTTTGTTTAACTCCACCATAGACCTACTGATGCAAATAACGTTCTCGTCGACTGAAGTTTCATGAATTGATCTCATTCCAGGAGGTCTACTTATCGACTTATAATATGCAGATGATATAGTCCTGTTTGGTGAAGACGCTGATAAACTGTAGAATCTTTTGATAGCACTGAGCAACAATGCCAGAATGTTTGGGATGCATCTCTCCTCCTCTAAATGAAAGCTGTTGATTCACGACTGGTACGCGTCGATACCTGAACTAAGGATAGAGAGTGAAGTAGTCAAACGCACCGACAAATTCACTTATCTTGAAACTCTGGTCAGCACTAATGGGCTGATGCCTGATGAAATCTCAGCACGGATTCGAAAAGCTGGTTTGGTTTTTGCCAACTTACGTCACTTATGGCGAAGGCGAGATATCCGTCTATCAATAAAAGGGCGAGAATACTGCGCGGCAGTTCTATTTATTCTACTTTATGCCTGCAAAACGTGGACAATAAGAGTAGAAGGTACTCGTAAGCTACTAGTATTTGACCACAGATGCCTTAGAAATATTGCTGGCGTCTGCTGGGATCACCGGGTAAGTAATAATGAGGTTAGGCATAAAGTATTAGGGAATGATGGTAAATCAGTTGATGAGGTTGTGAATCTTCATCGACTGAGATGGTTGGGCCACGTGTTAAGTATGCGCGAACACCGACTTCCACGACGTGCAATGCTAACCGGTGTTCGGGGTGGTTGGAAGAAAGTTAGGGGCGGCCAAACCAAAACGTGGCATCAGTGATTGAAATCACTAACTTCTGGTCTGAGCCATGTTGGCAGATGCAGACTACTTGGTTGGGGTCCACGTGACTGACGTAACCAATGGTTGGAGACTCTGGGTGACATGGCTCAGAATCGATCACAATGGCGTCGGTGTATACACTGTCTTCCCTTAAACTAAGAGATTAAAATCCCTTCATATCTTTCTTTCTACGAACTAATTCTTTCTTCCTGTGCTGTATCCTTATTGCAATCTTTCTTTTATATATTACTACCTCTGAATTAACTACTTTTATGAATCCGGTGTCCATCTTGTTATGTTAATGAGGTATGGCAACTTGGACCGATGCATATATTTGCCTGGTCCTACATTGTAGCTGACTGACTGACTGACACAAAGCTATTGGTAAGTTATTATTCGTCTTTCTACTTAGTTAACTTTATATGCTATAGACTCACATTGGGACCGCAAATAATCCACTACTAAGTGCATCACCTGTGAGGAGTTATGATTTAGGCGGGTAGCTTTTTGAAAACTACCTTCAAAATAAAGAATCTTCACACAGCAATATTAGGGGAAGCCAGTTGTTACAAACGCTTTTATAATTAGATTGGCCAATGATAACTAAACAAGTTTTACACTTGTTTCTTGATATTGGAAACAGTACATCCAACATTAATACTTTTAAGTAAAAACAAATTCTCAAATGTGATAAAATTGATCCATTTAGGAACAAAGTACTCAAATATGATGAAGTACGTAAACGTACACCGAGTATTTGTTTTAGGTCAGTGAACACGATGCTAAGGTTGGGTTTATATGAAGAAAGTATAATCTCCGGTTAATGATGATTCGATTCACAATCGGCATGTGCAACAAGATGGAGAGACCCAAGCATTCTTACACAAACATGCACATATGCATACATACATAGTTATGACAAGTTAATCGGGCCAAAAAGAAACGATACGCGATGTTAGCTATATGCTGATGCAGCATAATTCGCTGAAAAGTTTTACAATTATATGATGAAAAAATATACATCAACAGAATTACAATGATGATTTTAACACTACTGTTTGCTCCATACAAATAGTGATCAATCAATACTAGCACATCACTAAAAGATCATGTATATAAAAAAGTACTTGATTGGGCATACAAGACATTTGACGAAGTTGTTTGGGAAGGAATCAAAAACCATAATAAATAAAAATAACTATCATTATTTCATGTGAAAGAAGTCTAGTTTTTTTTCAGTTTATGCACAAAAATCATGTTTATGTTATGAAAAAAATGGAAAAAACTTGTTTTTTAGCAAGCATTAAGCGAATAGAAATTGCCGAAACAAAACATAAATGTACGACATTGAAGTGTTTGAAGGAAGGAGTCAAGAATTAACTTACCATAATAATCAGTTGAACGACCTGCTAATCAAATACAGTTTATAGAATATACTACCACAGAATGTCTCAATATCAATCTATCAATTTTTCCACGTATCATAACTTTATTCAATTTGTGAAAGGTTTATGAGAATTTATGTCATTTCCAGAGAGTAGTAATTAGGAACAATGTGTTATTGGAGAACCGCTCACATTACTCTGTAAGACTAAACCTGTCACTAACAGTGATCAAATATAGGTACAGTGATATGGGACCCCATCACTTCGAAACTAGTAAACAGTGAAGTCACTGTTTTATTAGATCACCGTTTCTAGTTACTCTACGAAAAATTCATGGATTATCTGATCTGCATCTATAAGCATTTGTTTCTATTGTTGTCCAAGTATTTGAAAGTCAATAACTTGACATCATTTGATTTTGATCAAGGTTTGAAATTATTCTAACCACACTTATGCCTGACTGCGGGCTATTTCCTTTTTAGTGCAGATTGAACATAGTTTAGAGATACAACAGGACATAGTTATGCGATTTTAATGATGTTTCTTAACTTCGTTGGTAGAGATTATCCGGAATTTATAACATGCAATAGAATTTTATTATTGTAGCGAGTGGTTATATGGAATTTAAACGGATTGATTTGTAATAAAGAGCTGTTTAGTACAGCTATGGGATATAGTTTAGGTAGATATTAAGTATGGAACGATCATGGGGTGAATGTGTAAACAGAAAACAACTATAACAGAAAACTGAAACTGAGAAATTGGCTGCTTACTTTCCCGTTCTTGAGGTTCTTCTAGAGTCTGAGTTTCTTTGTTATAAATTATGGTTTCCGGAGGAGGAATCGCAATCTCAAAAACATCGGAAACTTGCAAATTTTTCCGTTTCTTGAAATTACGTTGGCTAACAATAAAAAGTGTGGCAGAAATAAGGAAAAGGCATATGAAATCATCCTAAATTCATGAGTATTGAGTAAGGAAACAATTGTCATCATCTTGCAATATATGACATCAGAGCAAATTCACTTTGCGATATTTCACTGATGTAGTTAGCGGAAAAGCGAAGCTGAAAGTTTTCTTGAATGTGATTTTGTAATAGTTAAACTATTTGTTTATCTTGCCTAAATTAGGGTTTGCCAAAATATCTTTTCATTTATGTGCGTTGCAGATATTCACACTAACGAATTAAAAAGTTGTTTGCATCCGAAGTTGACAGCAGAGCTAATAAAAGCATGGAGTAAACAGATGAGAAATGGGACAACGTTTTTGGCATTAGTCAAACAAACAAATTTTCGACACTAAATATTTGTAGAAAAATTATATGCTGGTTTCGCATGCCTGTTTAACAGCTTAGTTGCAACAAAAATAACAGTGAAAACAGAACATATCAGTAAACAGTATTGCAAGCCAATTTCAAACTACGTTTTCGAAAGATTAAGAAGCACTGACGACTGGACGCAAATCGTTTTAGCATAACTAACAAAAAGCTTTTAATATGTACATTCGGAAAAGACGTTTAACAAAGATGCCTTCAGCTTTCCATAACCTTAATCTATTAACGGCGTATGTGTCTCCTGGTGTTCAGATGGATCATTTTTCCACAACTGATGTAACCATGAAAGGTGAAAGAAATCGAAAATATATACTCTAAATAAACCAGATCGCCTTACAATATATACACTGATCGACAAGCAGAAAACTGCTAAGAAAAACTCACAGAACGCCATCAATCGTATCAAGAGACGGTGATTCTAGTTCACGTATGTTATTAGCCTGAGGTACTACGAGTTCAGGTAGGCCAAGATCTTTTAATAATTCCTCAGTCGTTTGACGTATGTCTGAGACTTCAGCATCGTGAATACCAGTTTTCTTTATTTCCTCTCTTTTCTTTTTTTCCTCTCGCATAGCAAGAAGCTTTGCTTTTTTTCGCTCTAACTCTGCTTTCCGGTCTGACATCAGGACAGCGATTCTAAAAACTGAAGTAGCGGTCCTGTCGAATTGTACCTAAATGGTTGTCAATAATAAAGTTTTTGCAACAAAAATACAACTATTAAACGAAATTTTTTAATTACTTCGTCGACGAAATAGTTGCGAAATGACGATATAATGCAATGTTGTTTAAGTGCACACTAAAATTCCCGGTTGTTCGGATGATTACGTTACTCCCGAAATTAGTTTTAGGTAGGTTAGTGGTTCTTAGTATATGGAGTCGTATAGCCAGACTTTCAATAGTTTTTGAAAATAACTGACCGCGTTTAAAAAGAGGCAACACTTTGAATATGTAAGTCTATTTACTAAAAGCTGTTGACTATATTTCTTGAACGTATGACTGTTCAGTCGACGTGGAAATGAGGCTGAGTAGAACATAAGTATGGATACGGTAGGCAAATGCTAAATTACTTAACTCGATTCCTACTTTGCATAGTCCTGCGCAATTATGGATTCATTTTTGAGGTGTAGATAACTGTGTGACCCCTCCGTATGAACTTAAGTCGGCTATCCCATCCTCCATAAACAGATTTTTCGGCAATGTACTATATATTGGGCAGGATAAATAATAACAGTTGTTACAGTTTGCTTCAAATGTTGTGGAATTTGTTTGTTCCTCTTTAGAAACAAGTTTATATAGCTTCCAACTTGTAGGAATGCCGATACAATCATGCAACTATTGGTAGGCTGCATCCGCCAGCATGGCTCAGACGAATTGATTGACTATATGCTGACATCACATGTTGGTTGTTGTGGCTCTTATTTCAAATGTCCGAGTTTTAGGAATTTCCACACTTGAACATAACTTTCTAATTTCTTTAGAGTAGTTAAGTGATGCTGTTTATATAAAAACATGGTTAATCACGGTCGACTCAGGTAGCGTTCTCGTGAAGTTTTACAAATTGTACATGATTCTAAACTTGTATCGCACGTTGTTTCCATACAATTGATTCCAATAAATCATAGATCGTATTCGCTGCACGACTTATCATGTTACCGTTTTCCTCTCCTAACGACGTCATACAGGTGATCTTTTCACTGTTTGCAATTACACTAGTTACCGGAAATCGAAATGCAACTCAATGGGACGTTCGACGTGAAGTTAGGTAAAAGTTTTCTAGATCGAGATTCAACATCATACATGACCATGCGTTGTGATTTCATGCCCGCTTCTGTCGATCGTTCACAACCTGGGTCAATCAAAGTAAACGAGAGCAAAGAAGTTGTTGTTAGCCTGCCCAACGTTACAAACTCTGGACCAGATACAGCAACTTTGTTTCGTGGAACTGCACGTCCCGTTCAAAAAGAATGTATTTTGATCTACAATAAAAAGGTGATTCTACAAATCCCTTAAAAGTATTTTGAACACAACTTTGATTTTCACATTTGATTGTTTAACGTATTTTAAACCAAGATAAAGGTGCACCACATAATTACTGTCACTGTTTATTTTCGCCAAATGCCCTGGTACGGCCGAGGGTGGGGGAGTTAGCTCTCCCTCTCGAAATGCTCTCACGTATACAGCCACTGCCAGGGGAGTCCTACCCATTGCCTTCTCGCAGAGGGGGTGTTGTTTACAAAATGGATAAGACGAAAACCGGGTTGGTGGTACAAAGGGTTTACCTAGGGGAGTTGGAAAACCCTGATTACAAATCAGTGGTGCACATAGTCTCTAAAATACTGTGGCGGGGAATGGCGTGTGAACCTATTGTTGGTTACCGACTACCGTAGTACTTCATCTCCTAAAGTTGCTCTACTGCCCTTTGGATTAGGCCTTCGTGCCAAAGGCTCGGGGTGTAACCCCGGCAGTATCCCAGCTTTCACTCAAATTGGTGATAACTGCTACTGGCCTCAGTGTTATTGTGTGGCTCATATGTATTGGGTGTCTCCTTGTACCAATGTTTATGTAGTCAAATAAATAGATAATTAAGTAGTTTTTGGTTGTTGTCTACTGCTTCACCTCAAGATCACTCGTAGATCTTACCAGATTCTAAACACTGATTGACAAACATTTTCAGAATTATTTCGTTGACTAATAATGGTCGTGTTTTCCAAATGTTATTCATAAACCAATGCATGGCTGAATTATCCAACTGTCCTTTTTCGTGTTTTATGTACAATAGCCAGCTTTGCTTTTAGCTTCAAGATTTTCTGGATACTCTACACCAGTTGTACTAACGTAAACTCTTACTGCATCATTTCAATTTTTTGAGATCCCATTCAATCAAACTTAACGTAGTCACCATGTTCATGTTTATGCATTCAGCTTTAAAGCATACTATCTAGGTATTTAAATCGACATGAGATAAACGGTGTTCGAACTTTCAACTCAGGTTACTAAGCGTGTCTTGGCCTGTATACCACTGTTCCATTTCAATGCACTCGGTAGTTACACACTTTGAATTCTCGTTGTTTGTTTAAAGAAAATTGACATTCCGTAGTTTATCGGTCATTGACTTTGAAAGGTATGAGCCTCTGAAACACGCTTATTCCGCAGAAATTGAATAGACAAGAGATTCTAGTTTTTGTGTCATTTCTGTGGACTTCATTGTATGTGTTAGTGTTTGTAAAAGATCACAATATAGTTGGTGTAACTGGTACACTATCGAATGCTAAGTACTAATGAGAAATATTTTATTATTAAATGAATCTATAACAAGTGAGCAATAAATGAATTTTGTCCAGCTTACTCTCAATGATCCCTATCTTGTTCGTTGCAAAATTGAAAAAAAGTTAAGATTGGTTAAATTTAGTAACATTTTCACAGTGTTTAGGGAAATCGAGTCGATAATTGTCTATACATTTTCTACGTCCTATAGTCTTATCCAACTGGCACTATTTGTTCAATTCATTCACATTCGTGGTTCTGTACATAATAGTTTGTTGCCTAACTGCATCAAACTATTGTCTGAAGGGTAAATTACTTAAAAAGCCCAATCCATAACATATGTCATACAATTTGTAAAATCATTACTGTCATATGTTGCGCGTCGATAATAAACCTTACTATTTTCAAACATCTCTTCTTTTCCTTTTGGATAGTTCCAGATGCTTATCATTACCTTTTCTGCTTAAAATGTTAGTTTTGTATTTGATATACCTTTCTCTGTTACTTGTGTTAACCAGACTACTAGTTTTCCTCCTTATCACCGATATGTTTTGTGTTACTCCCTTAGACCCATGAATTAACCTTGGAGAGAATTGCACATACTGTGCAGCTAAAGAAAACCCGAGAAGAACGAAAAGCTGACACCACTTGTCCGACCAACTCAGAAATGCCACAGTTCCAGTCCTTGGCTAGCCGCTCAGAACAAGATTTAAAATCTGTTCGACCATCTCCAACCAAAAGAAAATCTAATGATCCCGAGATATCGACTTCGAGTTCTATAGTACAACAGCCAACTCAAAAAAAGCCTCCACATTCGAGAACGCTAAGTAGTAGTAGCAGCAGTAGTAGTAGTAGTAATAGTGGTACTTCTAGTAGTAGTTGTGACATGGATATTGAAACATCGGAGAGTGATAGTGACAGCTCCTCAGAAAGTGATTCAAATTCATCTACTCTTAGTAGTTTATCAAATGACAGAAACAAAACGTCGAAAGCAAAACCATCTTCAAATGGAAAAACTAATACGAAAACGGCCAATGCAACAAATTTAGCGGCCCATCGTAAACTGATTGAACATGATTTAAAATTAAGTGATTCTGACTCTGATTCTTGTGCATAGAATGTTCTAGGAAAAAAAGCTGTTTTCTGTGATTTGTGCTGTAAATAGTGATTCTTACTATAAAAAGACATTAAAGAAGTATGTACCACTTTTCCGTATATGATTATCTCTTATGATTGATTTTATTTGTCTTTAAATAAATACTGCCATTTACATGTTCCATTCTTCCTTGCAATTATGTGAAAATTTCGTTTTATTCCTTATCTTTATATTCCATATATAACTCAGATGTTATGCAGTCAAATGATCTTGTGAGATTTATTAACTCATTTAAACCAATAGCTGTTACGCCAAGATTATAGTCAGATCTACCTCTAGTGGTACTAAATTCTAGTCATTCTCTTCTCGAGTGTTCGTTCTAGCGGTCTTATCATCCCATGTGGATTGACTGGAGAAGGTTTCAGATAGTTTAACCTTAAAGACAGTGAATAGCATTGACTTGATCTGTGATATATTGTTAACATTTACTACTCTGCCGATAGAATTATAGGACTATTGATGTCATTGCTTTTTCATGGGTTTTGGAGTAGTTATCCTTATTATTACAAAAACAATGAAAATCTATGTAGAGTGCTTTTCAGTTTTCAATACTACCATAAAATCGATAAGTGTCCTCTTTCTCGATAAATCTATTCATGTATTTTCGGCAGAGACAAACTGAAAGCTCTTAACTGGTCAGTTAATTTGGACAGTAAATATTAGGTCAATCCTCAAACACCATGTTGACCTTGTATCTCTGTCTTTCGATATAGAACCTATTCTATGGGAATTTTGATTTTTAATTTGTTTTCTTTTAAAAAGCGATTCAGTAATTTACCTGTTAAGTGAACAGACCATATCATTAGTCAACTCTAGACAGCAAATTATTTCAAGTAATTTGATTATACACTTACTAGTCAAGACATTCTCTGTGGAAACTGAGGAAGGTCAAATAGATAAATAATAATGTCTGGAAATTTAAGAGACAGGTTGAAGTGTAGATCGTATCTGAGCATTCATTTCACTCAACTGTTCTAGAAAACTAATAGACTTTCAATATTAATTGATTTTCTTGAACTAAAATCTGTCTTATATTGTATTTTTACATGGATATTCTTCTTAGTAGAAAAACTAGGATTAGTTATGGGATTTTCTTATAGGTCGATTTGATTTTTAATCTGTATTTGTGCGTATTGCTGAGCGATTCTACACTAGAATGGAGCAATTGTCCAGTGCTTCCCGGTTTTCAGTAGTGCCCCAAATGAGATGAATACAACCTAAGGATTTAGAGATATTTACAAATTTAAACAAAGCAAGAACAGAGTTCGTAGAGAAAAGTCTATTGTATTTTGAGTTTTCTCACCATTTGCTAACAACCTGAAATTACAAGAGGCGATATACTTATTAATTGTCTTAAATTAATTTGTTTTTAGTGTTAATTGTGTAGTCGTTCATCATTCCTGTTTTGATTATTAGTAATCGTAATATCACCTCTACAACTGTTCTGCAACGTATGTACGCGTCAATTTCAACTATGTTTAATAACATATGTTACTTATCATGGTTTTCCGTTCCTTTATAACTATTCATTTCAGTTTCAATTACTAAAGTCTGTACGTTTGCTTATCATTATACTACTCCTTTTCAGTTTAGACTGTTCATAGTTGTTAATAAAAGGCTTCGAAATACAATTAGTTCATTTTATTCTACAAATTTTGTTGTTTTTACATTGTTTAAATTTATCAAAAAGGGCAAACAGATAAAATTACCTAAGTGCTCCATTGGAATTATTATTTAATGTTCTCTGAATTATAAATTCTATGCTAACTAAAGGTTATTCATGTTGTACCGTCCAACTATTTAGTTTAATCAAATCTTTGAAATTTTTCAAACCATTAATTTCTATAAGATTTGTTGAGTTGTGTTTTTTTCTTTCCTATCATTTTTTAGGGTACATTTCTGTGTGTAAAATGAACTATCAGCTAAATTATTATACCCTGTGAACTCAACCAACTTTCACTGATTCTTCTCTATCTAACTCAAAAAAAATTTTGTTTTAATGGTTATAGTTCAGTATATTGTATTACGTCGTGATTTGTCAACGGTATTAAATTGGCCATTAGGTGCATTAATTGCACAAGGTTGTCATGCCGCGACAGCAGCCATTACTACTTACTATACACATTCAGATACAGTGTTATATCTAAACGAACTAAATAGAATGCATAAAATTGTTTTAGGAGTTGAGAATGCGGAACAACTGGAAAATTTGGCAAATAAATTAAAAGATGCCGGTATTGATTATTATTTGTGGATAGAACAACCGGAAGATCTATGCACAGCATTAGCTACACGCCCATACGAGAAATCAATTATTCAGGTTTATTTTAAAGGACTTAAATTATTATCATGAACTAATATAAATAACGTTGTCATAGTGTTGTTTTGTAGAATTTGTGAATGCAATTTTCAAAAAAATCTTTGTTTTTGTTAAAATAAACAAAAGAAGGCACTTCTTTTACATTATTATTGCCAACTTAGTCGTTTAATTCGGCATGTTTTCTTCTGACGATAGTTTGTAGCTTTTAGTTCTTTTGGTTGGATTGTTTAACTTTAACGGTTAATCAATAGATTCTTAATCATTTCTTTATACGTTCAAATAACATACACCCAGTTTTATTTATGGCATACTTTGGACGTGTGGACTGTTGATAATTGAATTTTCTTTAGACAATGTGTCATGTATTTCAATTTGAGATTCTTTTTCGATGTAGTATTATTAGGTTTTCACAAATAGGTAGTGATTCTTAGTTCACATTATGGAGGTACAAGCAGTTTTTATAGTAGGAGTTTCCCCATAGATTGACATATGTTCGCATGATTTTGGAATTTGGGATTATTCTACTTCTATGGTGATAGAATATTGCTACATACCTTTTACTTCCAATCGTCAACATGTACATACACTGATTAGTACTAGTATATAAATGTCTAAAGAACTGAACTTTGTAAATTCACTCCACGTAAAGGATTTCCACTAATTAATTCAAATCTGTTCGAGGTGCTAACCTGACCCATTATGAAGAATGTGCACATTTTATTGTATCCAGGCGACTATCTACTGTTTGTGAAGTCCTCAAGGTTTTTCCACCTTAATTCAAAATAGTAGATAATAGTAGACATTACACAGTGATTGTCACTTTCCAAACATAAAGGAAGTTATGGGTAGTGGTTCGCACAGAATTATCAGTTTACAATCGAGAATAAAAGACGAAACCATGACACCGATGAATGTAAGTAAGACCTTTATATATAAACAAGTTAATGGAGATTAAGTACGGTATCGAACACTGATCTCAGGAAAACTGCGACCAAACAAAGAATAGCAAATGTGAATGAGTAATTTATAGTACAAAATGAAAGAATGTGCAAAAAATATGTTGTGTTTGCATCATTAATAAACACCCCAAAGTTGGCCAAAAGTTCTAACTTGAGTTAAGCGTACTTTGTATGGTCTAACCTAACAAACACTAACGAAATGTCGAAGACGATCGTATTATTACCGTTATTGGTAATGTTGACTGAGTTTGTATTAGTTGACATTTGTGCATGCTGTACAGATAGCATCAATATATCGCTAACACTGATATCCAATTCGTGAATTCCAAATAAAACGAAACGCTTATCCTGAATTCCATTGTTAGACTCAAATCCATAAATTCTACTAAAGACCGCAACAAAATTTCACTTCCCCGTTTCATTAGTACAATTCTGACTGAGTTTTCTTCAGTATCTTAACGTCTTATTATTACTCATCAGTGGTTTTCTCATTAAAATTAATCATTATACAGTCACGAGTTAGCACCATGATGCTGTGTATCCACTACAAACCTGGAACCACTTTGATCCTAGTTAGTTGGAACTAATATTTTACCAGTTGAATTCATGAGTCGAACTAAGCTAAACCACCATTGGAAACCTGGAAGAAATGGATTATCATATGCTTACCAGTGACTAGATTCAAGATGGACTTCTTGGAGCACAAACGAGAAGCCGTGACCAGTAGAGTCCAATCCCTGTTTGGTGGAGACAGTTATCCACCTCAAACAATGAGCGAAGTGTTGCACAAAATCATGGATCGATTAAAGTTAGACATTAACACTGTTGAATGCCGGCTTAGTTGTCTAGAGGTTGTGTTTGCGCTCGAGTACCGCATGCGAGATCTTAGACCGTACTAGTGAGGAGTCCCATACTAGAACGAAACGGCCGTCCAGTTCAATTATGGTCTAGCTTACATTGATTCATGAATTCAACCATTAAAAATCACTACAAATCCCCATTCTGATAATATTTTACCATCATTGACTACTCATTGTGAACCAGATGACTAGCTAGTGAATATAAACAGGAAATATTAATTTAAGCTAGTAAATCATATTGATCACCAACATTCAAAGAGATTAAATCAAAAATCAATATTTTGGTATTTATCTAGTATAGTAGATAATTTATAAAATGTTTAGAAAGAAATCCAAGAATTTACCAATTTATGAAAATGAATCCCATTATAAAGCCAATATAACTGGAAATCTAAAAAATCCCGATCATCATTTTTCTTATGATTCGAGTATTTCAAGTGAAAACTTGATGTTTAATAAAAAGTTAACTGGCAAATCTAATCAAAATAAAGCTTTAAGTTTAATTCACAAAATGAATATATTCTCACGTAATAGACGAACTATCAACAGAAAAGTCAATTATAATGAATATATTGATTCAGTTCAATTTGATATACCTAATGATGAGTCTATGGAAGAAAATGGATCACTTAACTTGAGTCTTTCTCCAACGCATAAATCAGAATTCGATAGTAGAAACACTTCCCCTATTTATTGTGATCAAAAATCTGCACAGCATTGTAACTCTAAAGTCACTAGACTATCCACAAAATCTATATCAAAAACAGATTCACAAAAGAATGATCCACTCCACACGGATATATACACGCATGGTAATAGCATATATGGGTGTACAACTATAAGTGAATCATCTAGATTTAAAGAACAACAAGGTGCAATTTCATCCTCATTACCATTCACAATCCCGGATCCAACTGCTTACAGAGATTTAGATAATGCTAGTCCTGAAACTATTGCACTATGTCGTCGTCATTC